CCCCATGGCTGAAAGGGCGAGCATGTTTGGTGTGATGGGGATTCGAACTTGCGACCCACAGATTGTGAGTCGAGCTCCCTAACCGCCTGGCCAATATTCAATGTAAAGAAACTAGAAAACTGGCTGAAATTGCTCATTTTATAAGAGAAAAAAATATAGGGGAACTCAGAATAATAAGTGGGATTAACTGTAGTACTTAAGTAATTTTTGTTTACTTTTATTTTTTTGAAGTTAAGCACAAAGCTACACAATGGGCTATCTGTGCTCTGCCCATCACGGGTATTGAAACCTGGTTTCCAGCATTGTAAGCTCGCAGACATACTGCTGTGCCACTGAGGCGCTATTTTTGTTTACATCTTTTGTGTCACTAAATATTCATGAAGATCTTGTAAATAACAATGTTATGGGATACCAGACAATTTGGTACATTAACAATTTAGAAATGTTTAAAAAGCAAATTTAAATATTTTCAATAATAAATGACTAATAAATTTTTACTCCTAGCTACAGCCTTGTAAAATTTTTTGTTCAAAAGAATCTTTATAAAGCTTTCTGTGTTAGCATCAAACTAAAACAGCATTTGTTTATTACTAAATTAGTTAGAGATGTCAATACTTACAGAGGGACGATAGGATGGTCCTCTAGCCCATTCCACAACAATACTCTGACCTCGAATTTCACGCCCATTTTCATATTTAACAGCATCCTTTAAAACATAAGCAGGGTATAAAAAAATAGAGAAACAAATCAGCCTGTGAATATCTGAAAATATCCTACAAGGTAACTACAACAGTACATTTTTTCAAGACAATTTAATTTCAAACACACGTGGAACACCGAGGGAAATAATTTCACTGTGAATTAGAAAGTCCGCTATAATTTTATAGTCACTTCACCAGCAAAATGTTGAAATACTATGAAACATTAAACATACATGTACCTTGATAATAATAAAATCAGTAAATTAAGTTATATACAACAAAATGTTCATACAGTCTATGTCATGAACATTTTCTTTGCCTCTTTTGGCCAAAATAGTACCACACCGATATCCTGGTTACTCTGAAAAGTATACATAGGTTGCTGAAAAATTCTTTGAAACAAATATGTACAACAGGTTTTGAATAGTTTATGTGTGTGTGGGGGAGGTAATCTACTTTCCAAAGATTTTACCAATGTTTACTATATATATATATATCAATTACTTAAGAAGCAATCATTGAAATTTTGTGACATCATCCATTTTCTATGTGTATCAAAATTTTTTAAACATAAAACGTTTTCACTAAAGTAATTATTAATTGGAATCACAATTCCTCCATCAGGAAATGAAATTTAAATGCACATTTTTAAAAATAAACTCAGTGGGTACTTTTATCAGTTATTATTCTTATGTTAAACTTTTAATGGTTTAAGGAATGCTTTTCTTAAGAACATGACAGCTAACAACTAAGTTATGTTCTCATAACTAAATGTACAAGTTTAGGAGCCACAGCATTTATAAAAGTTTAAAGCACAGTACCACATACACAAGGCTAGTCAAGTGAACAGGTATGAGAAAAATGTTGTGTGTCTGGACTGGTGCTGATTTTCAATCTAGTGGCTCTATCTGAACTCTATTTAAGATTCGGGTCAGAAGGACTTTCTTTCTCTATTCAAACACTTTGGTCAAAACAGGATGGTGGCAAAGGTGATTTTGGTGAACAAGGCTTAGTCATGACTTTCATTAGATAAAGGCATGTCAATCCCTCTTGACTAGGAATACTGGTTCAGGGCACTTCATGGTCAGATGAGTGCATCGGAAAGGATTGGACTCAGTCTGTCTCTCTTTCTCCTCTCCCACTTTTAAACGGTATCAGAATAATCAAAACTAATTATTATTATATATTGAGAAATGTACATACAATAATTTAGGATAAAATTTGGAAGATACTATAATATAAACATGGCATAAACAGTCATGTTGGTAGACTCATTATCCAATTCAAATTTATATCAAAATTTGGATTTAGCTCTTAAAAAATAACAATAAATCTTAATTTTTCCAAACAAGATTATTCTGGAAGAAAAAATTCAGAATATGTTGTGCAACTGAAAAATTCTTTGCATAAAAAAAAAAAAAAAATCAAACAAGTTGCAAATTGTAAAGAACAAGATAAACCCTAATCAGTGTAGATGTGTAATCTATAGTACATGTATATTTTTTCTTTGAAACACGAGATGTATCATCCACAATAATCCTCAAGTAGACAGTTTTAACACATGAAACAGTTCAGTATTAACACAAAGTATGCCCATTACTGTCATCCATATTGATACATGACATTACATGGTATTATAGCATTCATGTTAACCTATTTATGCTTTTGCAAATACAAAATTTTCAAATTTTCAGTCACCCCAACAAAAATAATTTAAAGCTTTCCCTATGTCTAAGAAGAACTTTTCTTACCAAACCAAACTAATTAACCACTTTAATTAGTATCTGATCCAATACATTGCAACTAAAGCTGATTTTCAGTCTTCCTGTAGAAAACTTTAAGATATTGAAAGAAAAGTATTAACAGTATCGATTCATGCAGGCTTGCGATATCCACAGCAAAAATTCTAAAAAAAGTATTATGTCAAATGAAAGCTTTAATAACAGAAAAGAGAAATGAAAAATTTGTCTTTTTATTAGTTGGATTTATTTTTCAAAGAGTTTAAAATATAAAAACCACTTAAATACTGAAGAACTGCATGACAGCAGTCTTTGATATTAGAATAGAGTCCACGGCATAAAAAAATAGAGAAGTGTAGTAATCAGGATAACACCACAGCAAACATTGTGTATGTCCTGATGATAATTCTTCCACATAAAGACACAATTAATACATGTGATGGGTACAAGGCTAGCCTTCTCAGCCAGATTAAAAAACAAATTTAGATTAGATCTTTCTACTGGTTAAATCATAAATTTAGGAGCAGTTTTCCAAGTTAAACCTCAGGCATAAGTTTTGTCACATTTCATCTGTAGTAAGATATCAAACTTCCCTGGCAAGTGAAACCGATATATAACTGATATTATTTAATGGTAGCAAAATACGAGGAAAAAAAATCTTAGCAATTTTGTTGTTAAACACACCAATATTTCTCATCCTTCAGATAATGTAAAATTGAAATAAACCTTTTCTACTTGCTCTATAAAAAGAGACATCTAAAATATGTTCAACTATCATAAATTTAAAATTATAAAACATAAGTATCCTTTCCAATACTAAAATATACTAATTCAAAATGCAAGTCACAATACATATACGTCAAGAGAGCATGTTAGTTATGGTTTTGAATCACATTTTGATTAAAACAAATGTTTTATGAATTAAGTTAATAAAGTGTAAAAGCTACTAGTCAGAGAATTACTAATATTTTAAGTAAATAGTTAGTCCATGCAAGATACTAATCAATAGAATCACTAAGAAATAAATATCTGGACAGGTAGGTCTACACATTCAGAATTATAGTACAAATCTTTACAAGTTTGTAATAAATACTAAAAACATGGTAATACCAAAAAAATCTTTAATATGGACATTTCAGAATTTCCTTAAGTTCCATCATCAATCCGAAACGTCCGTATTAAAGTATGTTTTTTGGTATTACCGTATTTTTAATATTTATTATAAAACTTCGTTTTCTACTGATGAATCCTTTACAAATTTGATGTTGACCTCAGTTTGTTAGAAAAATCCACTTAATTAAATTATAACTGAAATATCAAATAAGGCAACGTTAGGTGATAGTATCAAATCTTAATTATTCAGAGAAAATTAAGAAGATAAAGGAAGAACAAACCAGAACGTATTTTTATTATGACTACGTTTTATTTTGCCATCATACTTGATGTTGTTCCTAAAATGCTATGACTTTTCCAATGGCTTTGCTGTATGGTGTCACAAATTTCGAGGGCTGAAGAGTGAATTATGGTACTATACAAATATAATACTTGTACATAAAACTAGAAATTATCTTAATGGATCAAAGAGAGTAGTAACACATATTCTATTCTAGAAATTAATAATGGATACATATTCTTTTAAGCCTAAAATACCAGGAATTTTACAGAACGCTGACGTAGTTAAGACTCAAAAGATACAAAACCTTGAAAACTCTTCAAAATGTTGAGTTTCCTGAGATCTATTAAACTAAATTAGATATGCCAATGCACACAGGCTTAACATTCTTTGTACAGCAGGGTCAGTGTGCATGTCACAACCTTTAATGGAGTTGCATTCAAAATTTATTATCAATATCTGTCAATAAACTGACATCAAAATGTAGTTTATAATTCAAATATTATATCATCTAAGTTTTAATTTGAAAAGGAAATACAAAAAATTCTCAGTTTCCACTTCTTTGTATCATATAATGTATCCGAGCTCTAAATTCTCCATATTTAATTTTATATCTTCAATAATATAGCATTAGTGTTCTAACAAAATATTATTACACAAAATAATAGAAAATTGGACCTTCCTACTTTCTATATTTGCTGAAATGTCAATAAATTTCCCAAACCCACCAAAGAAGCTCCTTCCCATCTTTTCAAGACAATCAATTATATAATTGCATGTATTTAGCTGGTGAACATGCTTGTAACCATCTGGAAGAGCTAATCCTCCTCTACAATAAGCCTGTTACAATAGGGTACTGATAACGTGAGAAGTTTAAAATACACGAGTTCAGTCCCATTCATGCTCAAACTTTTCTACTGCAAAAATACAAATATTTACAGAAAATTGTCTTTACAAGTTGATAATTTAGTATAATTAAAAGCATGTATAGGTATAGAAGAACTTCTAAAATGTGCAACTCAAGGGTAAGAATTGCAACTAATGACAAAGAAAAGTTAGGATTGAGAACTTATTGAAATATTTGCTTGTGAAATTAAGAAATAAAAACTTGTATAGTATTAAAATTAGATTTATTAACTACAATTTGATGCCAATATTATTGACATATCTTGATAATATAGTAATTCAATTAAAGTTTTAATGCTATTCTGCAAAGAGGTTGTGACATGTACTTTGACCTGCCCATACCCACATGGTAATTTTTTGTGTCACGTGACAATCCCCCACCAGTATCAATACTAAAATGTCTTCTAAGAGGCCTGCTTGCAATTCTAACAAGTGCACTGTTTTTACAATACAGGAGAACATTTTCAAGCTGGTTGGTCATCATGCAAGACTGGGCAAGAATAAGACATCGATGTGTCAACCATTTACTCTTCTGTTATGTAAAATTTTGTACTGTACTGTACGATAAATAAAGATTCACTGTATAGTGAATATGCAACCCCTTGTATTACATACACCCGATGTCTTTTTTGTGGGTGATTTTGCAGTAATCTGTGGAAATATTTGGTTCGTGTTCCAAAGGTAATTTTTTTTAAAGGATCTGCGTATTTTTTGTGCTCAAAATTTTGATGTGCGAGATGTGGTGGTATGCATCCTCATTAATAAACAAGTTTCTACTGTACAGATGTATCTTCTTAGTTACACATTGTTTGTGTGATCATTGCTATTAAACTCTGAGCAGCAAACAGAACTTTTTAACCTATTTATAGATTATTTAGAAAGCCAGGTAAATCTGTGGTTTGGGGATACTCTATTGTAGCTATTTGAAAGCTACTTGAATTATATTTTAGACAATCAACTTATTAAAAAACAGTTATAATTAATGAAGATCAATGCCCGAGGGCAAAAGACATCAATTCTGAAGGGTTAAATTTTTTGTTTCTTTATTATTATTATTATGTATTTTTTTAACAAAAGTAATTAAAGTAAAAACTACAAACTTTCCTGAGAAAACTTACTGTTTGGTGATTATAGTACTGGTAATAAAACATGTGAAGCCTGCTCTTCGGGTCAAAAGTTACAGGTGGATTGTATAAAGGCTTATTATATAGTGGTTGTTATTTGATTATAAACTGTGAAGGTACAGAAAAATCGAACTTAAGTTCAAAAACATTCACTGGAAAAATACTGGAAAGTATCAGAATCTCATAGTTTTGCTTACAAGTTATTAACTGATATGACTGCAAATACAGAAGTGGCTTTTAAAATGCCACTGGGCTGGAAATGATTAAAACCATTTTAAACCCCCCAACACTTCTTCCTAATTTTAGCCCTGGATTTATACAAATTAGCACCTACACAATAATTGCTTTTACGTCAAGATTATTTAGTTTTATTTAATAACTTCATCATAAAATATCGAGGAGCAGAAACCTGAAGTGGCTTACCTCAGCATCTCTTCGATCATCATAGTCCACAAACGCATATGCCATTCCAGTACCTATGAGAAAGGCATTTTCTTTTATAAATTTTTTCGAGAATGTATATATTCTTTCAATGAAACTTACAATAACTACTACAACAAGTTAAATCAAGCATTTGGTGTGTATCTACTTATATGAAACCAGTATGATTTTCTTACCATACAAAAATATTAGAGTAAAACAAAGATGAGGGAAGGGAGGAATAGCACTAAAGAATTGTTCAAATAAGGTATACGCATAGCATACACACACACACACACACACACAAAAGAGTACAAGAGTTTCTCTTAACTTCTATCTGACATGGAAAATCTTGCTTGTACAGAATATTTTAACTTGATGTTCAAAACATTGTCAAGAAATCTATCCAGTAAGCTTCATTCCTTAAGTAACCGCTACAGGCTTTTTTTTTCTTTTGTAGTTTAGGATTTTGCTATTTTCTTGAAATTTTACTATACCACCAACTGGAAAGGCTAGCCTTGGGTGCTTCATTTAGGAAGAATGAATTTAGTGTTTTTTTAAAAAAAGTTTCCCATTAAGCTGTGATTTATTCACACTTATTATAGATCATGAAGTCCTATTTACATATCTCATGGTAATTAAGGAGACTTCATAAGTTTATTGGCAGGTTACACAATGCCACTAACAAAATATGCAAGAAATGTTTTGACAATTTATATGTGGAAAACTTCTCATTAAAAGCTTAGTAATTAAAAATTAATAAATACATTATCTTAATTTCTAATTCACACAATCTCCTCATTTGACATCTTGATAATTCATTATTATTTCTAAGAATTTTCTTGAAAAATCCTGAAATGAATAAATGCAAACAGTTGTCAGTAGTAATCTCAGAGTTAATTAAAACCACCCATGTGAATACTGTCACTTCCATATTTTTTTTTTTGCATGAAGTGTTTCCAATAAACCATTGCCAAGAGCAGAGCAAAGAGGGGTCACATAATCTCTGAATGCCCCTAGTTTTAAAATTCCTACCATGAATGTTGTTGTTGTTTTAGTAATAACTTCATGTCACTCTGACCTATTCAATAAATGTTAACCTACCTAGATGTTTTTCTGCTCTACCAGAAACTGAATTTACTCTGACTGGGGCTTGAACCAAGGACCCTCAATTCATGCTAGTATTTTGAGGATGATGCTCTTATTAACTGATATAAGAGCTTAATGTCCCATGCAGACAATTTTCCTGTTTAGGCAATGCTTGTCTTCAGGCTTACACATACACGATAGCATCCAAAATGTAACGCAGCAAACACTATCACATTAATGCACACATCAGGCCAACCAGTGAGCCAAGCATGCAATCCACATGTGCCATCTACTCATTAGATCTGACCCTAGCTATGAAGGTCAAGTTTCAAGAAGACAGGTTGAATATGATGACTGTTAGAGCTGGGAAATTGGTGAAATTTTTTAATCAATTAATTATAAAGTTCATCAATCAACTATATTAAACTAACCAATTATTCTCATGAAACTTGTATAGTTCAAACGATCAAAAACAGTAATAAATGGAAACATTAATATAGATCATTTGATTATTTTCATGACTATCAACAATTTAATGATAATTTTGATGAATTAATTATTTTTTGACACTAATCAATGTAACTGACCGGCTCAAATATTTATAGATCCAATCATGTAACTTACATAAATGATAATTAACCTTTCACTGTTAATATACTAGAGAACACTATATGTTACTGTAAGATTTATTAGTGTTAAAATTGTATGTTTGAGATCAACCGAATTTTCTATTGCTTTCAGTCTGACATGACACTATAGATCAGTGGTCGGCAAATTTTTTTCCCTGAAATTGATCTTAAAATTCTCCGTAGCCATGACTCTTTCCGATCTTTCCTTTAATATCGTTGTTCTTCTCACGTAGCCGAGAAACTTGAACGGAACAATGATTGTGCCCTTACGGGTTGCAATGGTGAAGCCAAATGGGTCAGCCAAATTATTGCCGCGGGTCACTTAGTGACCCGCGGGTCATGAGCTGCCGACCACTGTTATAGATTAATCGTGAATATTCATAAAAAATTAAACTACTACTCACAGTTCAGAAGCTTATTTTAGAATTTCACTTAAACTTATCCGAGAAGCTTTTCAACTTGATTCATTATTAGAAGAATAAACTAGACCTGCTACAAATCACACAATCACAAGATTCAATATGTCAGTGACAAATAGCTTCACCTTTCACAATGCCATAACCATTAGTTTTTTCAGATATCATTTTTTTTTTTAACGAGATCAACTTGTATCTAGTATTTATAATTTGTTTTCAATAAGTAAGGTGTTACTGTCTTTGAACATATAATCACACAAGTACAGTAACATCATATTCAATATAATAAAAGAGTATTTTTGTCATTTGATTAGTTTGCCACTCCAGGCCTAGCCTGCTGTACTCACCAATATCCATAGTTGATGATTTCTTTTGTAGAAGAATATTCCTACAGCTTTTTAGTACATAAATTATCACACAAAAACATCAGCAGAAAATATAAAGAAAAAGCTGGCTACTAAATGTTATAGACGTTTTTAAAATTGTGCCATCAATTTACTCTACTACTGTTGAGTACAGTTGACTGTATTAACATTCAAATTTATCGAATGCTTGGCTAATTTTCACACAACACTATAATTTTTTTGACTAGAGTTAAAGATTAATATCTCTTTCTGAACGAACAACAAAAGATGTACACACACACACACACACATATATATATATACAAGAGTGATGTTTACAATTCACATACCAAGATATACACCAGAAATGAAAATCTGAAAATTTTAAAATATTTATTTGTAAAACAAATATTCCATATTAAAATATCAATGCAATTTGGTATTATAATACAGAATACTTTTGTAATTTTGCAACCACTAATAATGTTAAAGGTTATAACATATTTTTGTACTTTCTGTTTACAAGATAAAAATGTCACTCTTTCCACAACCTGTCAGCAGAATTACAAAAAATATGCTAAATTATAACACAACTGCTTCTCCATTGCCTTATAGGTTATCCATATTTCCCCCTTTTACTTGTAGAATAGCTTTTTCAAACATCACTATCTTGTTTTCCATAGAACAGAAATGACATCCTGTGTTTTCAATCTACAATCAATTTCATACTTCACTCTCGCAAGTTATTTCATGTAAATCTTCAACTTGCAACATTTTTTTTTATCACGTGTCCAGTAGTGCAAGTTGTTTTCAAATGTTGTTTCAAAATTTTGTGAGAGTCATAATGTAAAGTTTAATATTGAGGCTCGAGTGTTTCAGACCACTTTGTTTCATTGCAAAAAATGAGTCAACTTGAATGAGCAAGTTTAGATGCGTGTTGGGGGTGGGTGGGTACTTTTATCATTTATTTTAGTATTTCTTAAGATGGAATAGTTTGATTACTGTCTGCCCGTTTAGTGAAACGAGGCCATGAAAACTTATAAGTGTAGTGACTGTTGGTATAATAAGCTTAAAGTAAAAATATCAATTCAATTTTAAACAAACTATTTATGAATTAAACTATTTTCTGTTATATCACCAAAGTTTTAATAAAAAGCAAAACTCTTTAATTAATGGAGTTTGAATTAAGAAATAAACAAATATTTTTCCAGTTTTGTTGTCTATACATTTCATCTTATACTTTCAGTACATAGACTAATAACATTAGGTTATACTCTTGTTGCAAGCAACATGACATAAAAGCCATTGTTGGAAAGTAGTGTTATGAAAACGTACTGGCTTTTCTATATATTAGTAGCTAATCTAACTGATTTTTACCAATAATTATTCTATGAAAACCCCACAAATTCATTTCAGGAATGATCTTAATTTTGATTGGCTCACAAAGGAAGTTACCGACGGTTGACTGCACTTTTCTGCCTGTTGGTCAAGCTTGATTTCGCAAAACCTATTTATTTCAGTTAACTATGAAATATGACTATTGAGGTTAGGGTAAATTACTTGGTGGAGGTAATAGTACTTGCCCAGTCATTTCCGATGGGTTATACACTAGATCACTGATAATTTGATAACATTGTTCCAATAGGAAGGTAATGTGGAATAAAACTGAAAAGTTGAGTTACACTTTCAGGTACGATTTTTAATTGTGGAATCCAATAGTGTGAGAATTTTTTTCATATTTTCATTATATAAAAATCACCGAAATATCCTACAGTGTTAGCATAGCTTAAACTTGAACTGTCACAGTTTTAGGTCTATGACTGATTAGGATTCAAAAGTCAGAATTACATTTACATGTTAGGCCTAATGACTGATCTCACAAGCGCGGCAAACAGCTTTTCTCTTTAACCTTTTATCAGTTTTAGGCTTAACATATTTACACCACATTTTAGCTAGAAATAAAATTACTATTAACAACAAATATATATATATATATATATACATACCATATTTTACATCACATCGCAGAAGCCGTCCATACTTGTCAAAAACATTTTCAACATCTCTCTCCCTAACATCAAGAGGCAAACGTCCAACAAAAAGTTGTGACCTTCCCGACATTTTCTTCTGTTCTAATTCCCCGATCGCAGAAACAACGACAACTCGACAAGTCGCCGTAACTATAGGACACTGAACACAGACCAAATAGTGTCATTAACACTAGATTTAATATTTTTCAAAAAATGTTTGCAATACGTTTTTTCCTTTATCTTTAAACAAACAAAATATCAATTAAGAATTTCTAAATGGTAATGTGAGGTAAATGAATAACAATTTTTTTTATTATTATTATCGCATTCGGCTGTTCCTCCGCCAGAAGTAGTTCCAGCAGGCCAAAAGGCATGGTTGGTGTTTGTTAGTTGAGCACAAAGGTGCACGATGGGCTATCTGTGCTCTGCCCACCATGGATATCGAAACCCGGTTTCTAGTGTTGTAAGTCCCCTTGGTGGTGGTGGTGGTAGATGTTATCTAACAGAACTGTCACCACAAGTTTTTCAATAAGAAACATATTTCTACTGTTAAATTGATACAATATTATCCATTAAAAGTACCTTACATCTGGTTGACTCTTGTAAGTTATGTTTTTCTTTTTTTTTTATGTTAGACGTTTGTATTGTTGTTGCGTCAGAAGGATGTTTGATATGTCACATGATGAGCGTTTAACGAATGAATTATACTTATCGTAAGACATTAGTATTAGACCTATTATATTTTTAGCATTATTCGACGCCTTAGAGTTCTCAAGAAGAACAAGAGTTTATGATAATACTTCAATTACATTATGTTCGCCATACCCATTGCCGACGACTCTTTTCGCTCAATACGGAATTCGTTAGGTTGGCTAGGACACAACAAACATAGCAGAGATCAGAACATTATTTTGTAAGCTGTTTCTGACAACAACAACTGTTCTGGTGTGAGCCTATTATATTTTTAGCACTACATTTTTTATTCAGTCCCTTAGGGTTATTCAAGGAAAGGAAGAGTGGACAATAGTTTTCACCACACTATTCGCCACATCCATTGCCAAGGATGCATTTCGCTCAATACAGAGCTCATCAAGTAATCATTTCAAAGGTAAAAACTCGAGTTGGATGATAATATATGGCAAGCCATTATGATCATGACCCATTGGTTCAACATGTTGCCAAAGAAGCCAATGATAATGTTGTAGGCTGTGTTTTCAGTGTTTCAATTTAGGTGTTTGCTAAAGGGCGTATGATATTAGGATCTAGGAGGTTCGTGGAAGTTAAGAATCAAGAAACTTCATATAATATGTAGAAACAAAGGTACTATATCTATATATACACTGAGTGGTCACAAGTAAATAGACACCACCTTTTCAGAAAAAAAATGAATTTTTTCAGTCATATTAATATGA